TTAATCAACCATAATTTTAATATCAAAAATTTAAAATTAACAAGTAATCATCAGGTTACGTTATTTATAGGATTATTGAAAATACCAGGATTCAATTAATTTGAGAAACATCCACTTTAATTTAATTTAACATTCAACATGTTGAGCAGGAGTGCCGGTGTCACACAAACACTGACGTGAACCGAGGACGTTGTCATGAGGTGCAATTGCCACTTAAGGACTTGATTATGTTAATATTATTATCCCTCCTGATAATGTATCCATATATGGGTAAATAACAATATATAATAATATAAATTGTCATCATTTTTTTTAAAACCACTGCTAAACACTGATTAATAACGCTAATTACCCCCCTCACTTATCGCTTACACTTTTAGGCTACATCGAGTCGGATAAAGCGGCCAAGCAAGGTTTTTCGTTATTAATTAAAATGTGCAATAAATTGCCTTTAGAAATAAAGACTTCCATTAAACGCGTTTCGACAATTGACAAAAACATACTTTTTGAATCACGCTTTCTACAATATAGAAGAATATACGAAATGTTCATTTTTTGACTTGCTTGACATGTAAATGTAGATGAATTTTAATTTGTAATTTTAATAATCTAATGTAATGTAATATCATTTGCATTGATTGTAATTTTGACAAACCAATGTTATATTTTAACAAAATGGTCAATAAATAAAAAAGTAAGAGGTATTTGTTGATTTAGCCTTAAAAATATTGTTGACGTTATTATAAAAAATGGTGGCTATTTAGATATTATTTTTAAACGTGATTGTGTTTACAACATAAAAACAAACCAATCTAACTATAGTTTGTTTTGGGACATGAAAACAAAGTCCAGCTCCTATAGAAATTTGGCCATCCTCCTTTCTCAGTTATAAATACAAGAGTTGTAACCGCTCTCTACATTTGAACCATTATTAGTCATAGTTGTTACTATTATAGTAATCTTTAACTTATCACACGGAAAAGTTACTGGTATAGTAATAGAATATAGTTACAGTAATTACTAATTATTAATGTATGACCACCAGAGAATTTACTGGACAGATACAACTTGATCTTTCAAGAAAAGAACCTACTCTTTTGTAAATGCCCCGGGTGTTGTGGTTCTTCATGGGCGGTGATAGTTACTTACCATCAGGTGAGCTGCTTGATCGTCCCCCCCCTCTTCTTTAAAAAATAAATTAAATACCTCTTATATGATTATCTTTAATTTAAAAGTGAATAAGCTTTTTTTTTTCTTATTTTATTTAGGGGTTTTTGTTAGTTAACATGTCAATCCTATTAAAATCTATATGTTGCTATTAATCTGCACATACTCAATGCAATATCCAAGGTGGGGGCATGTAGGATTAGGCCCTGCGTAATACCTATATTGTCCACATTTATCTTATATGTCCTTCCAAATAATTCCCTTTCCCCTAGTTGCCATTCACAATCCATCAAAAAGTGATGTAAGTTTTTCTATTACTCCACAAGTTTCACATTAGATGGAATCAGTTCTTTTCATCAAATAAGAAATCTTTTTCATGGAATGTGACCTGTTCTTATTCTAAATATTAATTTAATAGCATTTCTTTTAATTTTGTATCTACAAACCAAGGTATTCGATGTGGTTCACTCTGTATTGTTTTGTACCAAACACCTTTCGTTTTAGAGCGTTCATTGAAAAATTCTTTCAATTTGTTATGACATTAATTTTTGAATTTTGGTAGTACTTCTGAGTAGCAAGGGTCAATATTATATTCTACACCATTTATACAAGCAGAGTTCACTAATCTATCTGCCTTGTCATTACCCAATATTTGGTCTATGTGCTGGAATCCACTGCACTCTTGCACATGTCGCATAGACTGAATTGATATATTATTTGGGAAAGTATGCAATAGGCTTTCGAAACACCTACTATTCCAGAGGCAGATTCGAGCCAAATGTTGGATAGCAGTTTTCCTGTCCGAGTATATAATAATTTAGTTACAGTTATAGCTTGCAGCATACTTTAGGGCTTCGGATATTACAATGAGTTCAAGGGTCATAATACAAATGTCATTAGTAACTTTATAAGATTTAGAAACTGCTTGATATGGGTCGAAAAAAGCTGCCCCTTGCAACTTTAGCACTCTTTGATCCGTCTGTGTAGATTTTGTGCCAATCGTGATATATATTTTCAAGTTCTTCAATAACATTTACTTTAACGGAATTTATTCCTTCCCTATCCTATCCAATCCTATCCTTTAGTTATTGATAAGACAGTGCTTTACTATCTATGGCTTTATAACCATATACATACATAGTAGTTGTCGCAGTCAAGCTATACACTGACATACCTATAATAAGCAAAAACAGTTTGCTTGCCCACCTTTGCTAATATTACAATCATGAAAGTGAGTTTCTTTAGTCTGCACTGCTAAAACAATTGCTAATTAACATGACAATGAGAAAGTTTTTAATAGACTTACCAAGGTCTTTTAGTTCGAGGATATAGAAAACGGTCCTCAAAGTGCCGTTTCAGTTTATACAAAGGTACTCTGTGCAAGCGTGGCAGCTATGGCAAATAGTACCTATGAGGCAATCCGTGGAGGTGCCTTGAACCTTCAATTTCTTAGATATTAGCTGTTGTTAAAAAAGTCCTTACTTGGTCACATTTAAAAACACATTGCCATTTTTCTTCTTCTTCACATTTTTGCACACATTAAAAAAACACTGGGTCGCAAATATTTATTTTAATACAAGAAAGCATATAAACAAACGAGAAATCAGAATAATTTGAAATTAATATTAATATCAAATTAACCTCAACTATCAGTGACCGCCATTAACTGCGTAGTAAACTAGGTGCGTAGTGGCGTGGTGCGTCTAATTGAGTCTAGTGCTTTGGAATGTAGATGGCAGCACAAAAAAAATATCATTTTGTTCTCAAAATTTGTTCTAAGTTGCACGCACGCCCATGTATTTATCTATGACAATCAAAAAATAACAGTACAATAAAATTATTGATTTATTAGATTTGTTGAAATATAACGCAGAAAAAATGTAATAAATAATAAACCGAAATAACTTTTCTAATGTTATAATTAATTAGTTTTTAATCACATGTCTTCTGATTAAAATTAAAGCCATGGAAACCGCCGTAACTTGCATGCCTGATAGTGTCGAAGCTGATGTTTCTCTAAACGAGGAACTCACAGAATTAAATAATGTCGAGACAAACCAATATGACTGTAAGAATATTCATATTCAACAAACGGAATTTGGTAAAGATAAAATTACACAAGAAAAGTCTGCAAGTGTAGTCCCTCCTGATACATATGTTGACCCCGAAGCTTTTAAAATAGGAAATGTAAATATATATGCCGAAGATATCGGACCAAAGTTGTATCCAGTGAGAGGCAATGTTGTAACACCACCTATTATAACAAAAAATCTTCCAGAAGCATTTAAGTATCTCCCTATATATGGACGACCTAAATCCAAAGCTGATTTAGAAGATTTTCTTAATAATAAAATAAGGGAATATGTTGGATGTGACTTTAGTGATGAAGACTTTGATAAACTTGCCAAGTATTGTAGGTATGTATGTTTAATACAAACTTCCACATTTTTATAATATTTTTATTTATATGGTACAGTTAATTTTTTTAAGCTCATACATGCTCTGTAATTTATTGTTTTTAAATCAAACAGTGCAGAGTGCTTTGATATGAATGGTGTTAAAATGTAGCTTTTGTTTCACTAGTTGACTTCTGCTTTCCAATTTGAAATTTTGTTGGTTTTTACTATATGTAATATAATATAATTTTAGGGGAGAGTTTTACATAGTATGATCTTTTTTTTTTATAAAAATGTTACCCTTACACTAGGATTTTCTCCTGTATTATGGAGACTGTTCACAAACATAAATTGCACAAGGACAAACATCCAGACCCAGAACAATTATTTGTAGGTCATGCAATTACATATTCCATGCCATATTAGAATGCGTGGCCCTCAGCGCAGCCACCCATTGCTAAGCCACTGCGCCACAGAGCGTCTTCTTTTAAATTATGGCTTCTCTTTTAAATTATGGCCCGTGTCAAGCCAGTTACGGGAGTCACAAGTTAAAACTTGTATGTATGTTATGGTCTAAATGTGTTCTCATTTTGTCATATCGTTATGACAGTGAATATTGTAAAATTGTGACATTGTTATAGGATAGCCATGAGGGCCATGGGGCCCTAGGGCAACAGATTTTTGGAGGTGACATTTTGGGTAAATAAAGTCAGCTCATCTTAACTTTTAAATGATGCCACTAAATATTTGAAAATTAATTCTTACTGAATACTTTTTGTTAAAATCCAGTGAACCTTACAGTAAAGAAAGTTCTAAAAATAAGGATAATCTACACTAACTATATAGCACACACATGCCGAAGGGCAGGAATGAGTTTAATAAAATCATTTTAAAATATTAGGTTGATTAATTAAGTTTTTGGAAATGCAAATCAACTAGGATAAGTACAATATGTAAATCACCACTATCAATACCTGCTTATTGGTTACTATAAAGTTGCAAATGCAGAACCAACAAATGCAATATAAAATCAGACAAAATTTTAACAAAGCTGATTATGACAAAATAAATACAAAATTGTTATCAATGATACCTGAAAACATCTCAGACAAAAGATATGTTAAAATTACAATTTGAAACTCTTCATAGAGCACTGATGGAAGCTATCAACTTGTACCATGGTTGGATATAATATATAATAATATACAAACAAGCCTTGGGTTAGTAGAAACAAAATTAAAAAGCTCATCAATAACAAAATGGTCTTGTGGAACAGATATGTGCTGACTGGACTATAACCATTGACTTATATATTACTAGCGTAAGGACCGGGCCAACCAAATAACAAAAACGGACCAGTGCACTGGCCCTAAAATTACAGTTTAGGGCCAATGCGAACGGTTGACAGTGGTGCAGCGCGCAGGACAGATTTGCCTGTGACAAATATGTCTAGTTGTGTGGTAAAAGAATGCAAAAATTACAATACAAAGATTAAAAAAAAACATGGCATATCGTATTATCGATAAATAACCTTATATTAATTTTGTTACAATTAAATTATTATATAAATGCATTTTTTAAGTTTTATTTTACAGTTAGTTTAGTTCCGTTACCAAGATTAGGCCAGGGTTGGATTCAGACCCTCAAAAATATTGTACATGGAAAATAAAATTATACGATTAAAAAAACATATCATGTTTGACATTTCATGTTTCTTTTTCCCATGTGCCGGGATTTTGGCGTCACGCGTTTAGTTTATCTATACGTTTCGTTTTTTTGACAGTTTTATTTTTATTTCTGTTTATTTTTGTCTAAAGAACTTAGTGTAAGTTAAATTTTGAATATTGTTACCTAATATATTTTATATTCAGTAAGGGTAAAACGAAAAGAGTACAAAAGCAACCATATCTGCTTAATTGAATCTGAAAATGTGTTTCATAAATTATTTTGAAATTCTGTTTTCAAACCGATTGCTTCTGGAGCATAGAGTTTTTATCGTTGTAGCCCCTCATCATAGTTGTATCAAGGATGCAACATAAATGCGATCAAGCATCGATTGCCCAGAAAGATAGCTAATCCTAATTTTATTAAAAAAAATTCGGTACTCATGTACAATAAAAAAATTCTGGATAGCGTAGGGTTAGTATTAAAATGTAAAAGGACCCAATAATAATACAAGTCGACCTTTAAGTAAAATTATGGTATTTTCGCTTAGTATTATTACGATACTATATACTACACACTTCTCTTCCCCCCGGACCTCCATAGGGTGCTAACGTGTATAGACAGTCGCCGCATTTTAAACAACATTAATTTAAATTGGTGAAAATAATCAGCAAAGAAAAATAGGAGCGCAGAATCAAGAAGAAGTCGACGCCAGCCAATAATAATTAGCAATCTCCTGCACACCGCTTTTGCCCTGGTACTTTCAAACTTGTCAACAAGTGAAAGGTACTGTGAATTATTGTTGTTTATTTATGTCTTTATCAAATCAGTGCACGCGCAGGAACGTCATCTTTTGTCGTCAAAAACAAAGCCACACCCCTGATTTATATTGGTTTGGGAAAACGCAAAGGCCAGCCAATAATAATTAGCAAACTCCTGCACAACGCTTTTGCCCTAGTACTTTCGAACTTGTCGCCAAGTGAAAAGCTACTGTGAAGTTGTTTATTGACTTTATCAAATCAGTGCACGCGCAGGAACGGTCATCTTTTGTCGTCAAAACAAAGCCACACCCTGATTTATATTGGTTTGAGGGAACGCAAAGGCGTGTCCCAACCTGTCCACTCATAGTGGTGTTTAGCGAGCTCAAAGTAAAAATCTTTCGCAGCTTATTATTTCCTGGTACTAAAATGAACAAATTCGACAAATCTTCGTCTGAATCAAATATCTCAAAGCAACTGGAGCATACACCACCTAAATTTGTCACTCAACGCAATAAACGGGGCAGAGAACATGATTATGAATATGATTTTAACACTTTTCGGGAGGAAATAAAATCAATGATTTCTAATTTAATGGCTGTACAGCAGGATGAAATTAAGAAAATTCACCCTACTCTAATGGACATAAGAACTACAAATAGCAACATACAAATCTCTATAGAATTTCTTGCATCTCAGAATGAGGAACTAAAAAAAGAAAATAGAGCAGTTGGAACTTCAAACAAAGAAAGACAAGGACTATATAACAGTACTAGAGGACAAGATCGAGGATCTACAGCGAGAAAACCGTAAGGCCAACATTGAAATAAAAAATGTTCCGAAAGTGCCTAATGAGTCCAAGGAAGGCTTATTAAAGTTGTTCCTAACTCTATCCAATAACATTGGCTGTAACATTGAAAAAAAATGATATAAAAGACATCTACAGAGTACATAGGAAAAGTGACCAGAATAAAAGTCAAGTTGTAACGGAGATGACGTCTACTATGCAAAAAAACAGAGTTTTTAAAACTAGCCAAAAACTATAATATAAGACACAAAGAAAAACTGTGCACAAAACACTTAGGCTTTACAAAAAATGAGTATGAACCCATTTACGTATCAGAACAACTTACAGCAAGAGGAGCACGCCTACATTTTCTAGCCCGAGATCTTGCCAAGTCTAAGAACTACAAGTTCTGCTGGACGTCCTACGGTAAAATATATATCAGGAAAAATGAAAATTCGCCTATTATCGTTATTAAAAATGAAGCTCATGTTAATAGTCTTATGCAAAAGGAGTGACTATTTTATGTTACTAATATAATTAACTTGCAACATTTTTTTCTATTTTATCTTTTTGGTAATAAGGCAGATTTTCACAGTCACTATATTACTTATAAAATATATAATTATAAAGCATGTATTAACATAGTAATCATTGTTGCAATGAATAACTTCACTCATATACACAAATGCACAATAATTTTAAATACACAAACTATATATACCACTAACCAAATAATAAACATTCTTCTCTGCAAAATACTAAGGCATTCGTACAGTTTTTTAATCGGTTTCTTCATTCCACTAATTATAAATATCGAAAAAAAATATATTGAATTATGTAAAAATATATCGTAACTTAACAGACCATGATGAATAATAAACTTCAAACTTTGAAAGAGATAGACAGTAGCGAAACTGCTACCTCTATTTATTGCAATATTGATGAATTACCTAAACACTTAAACTCAAATAATGTAAAATTCATTGTTGTGTCCCAAAATATAAGAAGTGTGTACCGCAACCTTGACGACCTAACCTTAAACTTACTTCAATTTAAATTTAAGGTGGATATAATAATTCTTACCGAGTGTAGAATTCATAGAGATAAACCTATTCCAAATATTAATAATTACAAAATGTATTCGACGACAAATCACGTGAATCAAAACGACGGGGTAGTCGCATTTATCAAAAATGGCGTTCAAGCCCATGTTAAGGAAATAATATTATCAGACGCTTCCTGTATTCAAATTACTACGGCTTGCTTCGTGATTTTAGGTGTTTATCGATCGCCGGCTAACAATAATGCAGATGCTTTTATTAACTCTATGAACAACCATCTAGAGCTACTTAAATCCCGACGAAATGTTATACTGACAGGTGATATAAACATAAACATAATTCCAAAAGCATCTGAACAAACATATGAGCGAAACAATAGATGTAATTATCTTAATGTTTTATCCCTTCACGGACTACTTCCTGGACACTACTTACAAACAAGGGAAAATAGCTGCATTGATAACTTTATTATAAAACTTGAAAAAAAAGAAGTATTCCGCCTTTACTGCAGTTCTTAACACCACAATAACTGATCACTTCATGATATTCCTATCGATTTCTTGTAATAGAAATCATAATGAGAATAGACTTTACAAAACTGTCATAAACTTTGATAAAGCTTGTCATAGTTTAGTTTTACAAAATCTTTCAGAGCTAGACAAACAAAGTGACCCTAATACCTTTGCAAACATATTGATTGAAAAGATTCAAACAGCCCTAAAAGAAAACACCAAAATCACCCCCATCACAAGTAATAAACGCCTACTTAAACCGTGGGTAACTGAGG